CTACACGAGTAAAATGAGTAGAACAAGCTGTGACACCAAGGCATTTTCTTCACCTTAATTAAGGGGTTTCAAACCCCCAGCCGGTGGGAGCCCTGCCCTTGCATTTGCTGCAGCTGACCCTCGTCCCCTCTGTCACTCATTAGGGGTTATAGCCTGAATATCCAGCTACCTCTGGATGGCATCGTATCAAGATACAGATAAAGAATAAGCAGTTGTAGCAACACCGAGCACAGTGCAGGCTCTTTTACTCTGCTCCTGGACATATCAAATAGACACAGCTGTAAGAAAGCTATTTATTGCTTGACCTAAATGGCAGCCACACCGTGTTCCCACACCTTTCCTGCTGCGTTAGCTTTGCCATCATTTCAGAATTGTCACTGTGTTACAGCAATTAATATCTTCAGTAGCCAACAGATCAAATCCACACTAGATGCGTACAGCCTATAGTTGCATTAATTAGAAGAGGTCCCTGAAGTTCCTGTGAGGGTGCTCTAACAGGGCTGTGTGTGTGAGGTTATCGTTATCCCCTGGAAGCCCTGATGCTTATGACTGCACTTCGGTATTAAACTCCTTTTGAGTGATGTTCATTTTGTGCGATACACAGTCTCAGTTCCAGTCCGAGGGTTGCACAATGGTGTATTTAGATCCATCTCTAGCCACTGTATGAAACCTGAAATACTCCTTCGTAACTTCCCAACTCTTTGTAACACCATAAATCACAGAAGCCTCGCTGTGCTCGCTCAGGGCCTTTCTGCAGCAGTGTGCAAGGGGGAACTGAAATCTCTCTCCACTGTTCAAGGCAAAAGAAGATTTTCTGCAATCACAGTTTTCACAGGGGCCAGTGGGAGTTAAATATCCAGCTTGAAAAATATATTTGCGCTCAGGCAGGTCTGGCAGGTCTTCAAGTGGATCCTGACCTACTCGCAGATATTTTTTCCTGCCTAGTCTCACATGCAACCATATTTTCCAGATACACTTATCTACCTGCCATATGCAATGATGTATAACCCCAAAGAAAGCAAAGTAGGTGATTACCTTTCCCCAGTCAAGTGCAGTAGAAAGGTCAGATTTAATATGAAGCTGAGGGGCGATGAAATAACACAGAAAATGTACAAAAATAGAGCGTAGCCACGCTGAAAGGCAAGCGTGTCTGCTCATCCGGGCGAAGCGCCCAGCAGCACAAACGCACCATTCATCTCTGCAGAGGCTATTGCTCCCTGGTGTTAGATTTGGGACATGGCTCCACTTCCACGGGAGGTACGTTTTTAGGAAGATCCTGCGAATTAAGCAGGTGAATCGTGTCCACCCGCGTGTCCTTCAGCCCCCCCAGAGAGCCCTCTCCTGCCGGCATCCCCTCCCGGCCCCGCCACGGGCTGTGCCGGCCTCTGCGCAGAGCCAGTGACATCCAGCGGCCGCCCGGCTGCCTCGCCTGTCCCCGGGGAGGGGAGCTGGATTCCACTTGGATTGTCCCGGGCTTTTACGGTGGAAAAGATATTTTTCCCCAGTCCCACCCTTCCAATGGCTGGGGAGCTGCCACACGTCGTATACGCGGTCCTGCAGTTACTTGTTTTCACCTTGGTAGTGTCTTTGTCTGAGCATTGCTGGACTCTTACAAAATGGGCAGATTGTTCGCGTAAATGGAAATAAATGCACAATGCAGCAGCTCCCTGCGTTCGGAGGAATACAGCGGCAGTTCCCTTTCCTTCCCTACATAGACAGG